ACATTAACCTCCCCTCCCCCTCTCAGCGATAACTCCTCTCTTCATGACGTTAGACTTGGAAAAGGGGTTGGACTGTACTGACTGTCCAATAGCGCTCTTCACCGAAAATTTGATTGTCGAATCCGCCATTTTGTCCAACAAACAAACCAGACAGGAAAGTTAATAGATTAATGTCCGTAGAGTCAAACGTGAAAATGGTGTATTGACATCTTTCCGCAGTTGTGACAACATACCTTCTGGTGTTCATTCATGATTATTTCATGCTATAAATAGCAGGAAGAGATTGATTCACATTTGAACCACTAGAACTGAGGCGCTACAGCAATCTGTTAACGCATAAAACATTAAAGATGACACATTTTGAAAGCTGAGAATTAGTTTCTTTCCAAAAGTAACCCGCTCTGTTTTGTCTGTCGGCACGTTGTCAGTGTCCTCTTTGCTCCGTGATATATTTTTTACTGCGTGATGATGTGTGGCGTGAGATCGCAATCGCATCAGTTCAACCGGCACATGAACCGATCATCTCTTCCTCTCTACTACTACTTATAGCATGAAATAAACATGAATGAACAGTAGTGTTATGTTGTCTCAACTGCGGAAAGATGTCAATACACCATAGTCCATCGACTCCAATCTAACTCTTCTGTTTGGGTTGTTTGTTGGACAAAATGGCGGATTCAACATCATGATTGGACAGATCACCTGTCAATCAAACTCTCGGCAAAGGGAGAAATCCCGCCCTACATTCCAGAAGCTGTTTCACTGCGATATACGTCACGATAAGGAAGAAGAACTATCGCAACTTCCGTTTGCCAACTCTAAGTGTCCTTAATTACTATATACTTACATTTAAATGAATCATTTGTTACAATGTATTTATTGTGTACTTTCATATTTTTGAAAACTATTTGAAAATACAGTCCTGTAATTATATCTGTAATTGATTTCTGTAGTTACATCTATATTTACACCGTTGACCCTATCTCTGCCTCTTAAACCTAACCATGCCACCAAACCTGCCCCTGACTGGTAACACTTTATTTTAAGGTGTCCTTGTTACACATGTTACATGTACTTACTATTATAATAACAATTAATTATGCATAATTACATGCAAGTAACCCTAACCCAAACCATAATCCTAACCCTAACCATATGGTAAGGACATGTAGTTAATTAATATTACTCAGTACTGTCACGAGCTATGGCGCAAGGGCGGAGCTAGTGACGTGAGGGGTAAACGCTGGGATAAACGACAGGGGGAAAAGCTGAAGCTGATGCTTCACTTTATAGCACTGACACCAGTCATGAGGGAGTATGTTACCCCTAAACATTGAAAAGATATTAGGATATTACTCTTAGGACATCGCAAACTAATTTTTTTTCATGAATATGATTAATCTGATGGAGGACACGCTCAGTCATTCATGCAGGCTCTCTCTCTCGCGCGTGTGCTGTTTAGGCATGTTTTGTGCCATTGATCGTCGTCGTTATCCTTAATAAATAAAACATTTATTCATGCTAGGGTAGGACGAAATCAAGTCCCACCCTCTCATTTCAGATGCCGTTTCACTCGGATATACGTCACAGTAGAGAAGAAAAGACAATCGCAACTTCCGTGTCATGCCGACTTTAATCGGTAAGTTTCCACCAAGCAGCAACCTTCTGGTCTCTCTCGTGACACCAACACGGAAGTGACTAAAACTGCAATTCATCAACTGGCCGCTAGAGGCTGGCTCCAAAAGGAGTCAGTCCCATAGACTCCCCATGTTAAAGGGGTCATATGATGCGATTCAGAAAACCGTATATCAGAAGTTTAAACTCATATGGTTTAAAACGCATGATTTCAGCGCGATAGACATGATAATCAGAACCAAAACAGCATTTAAAGAGACAGGCCCGAAAAACAGCATGTTTCTGCTTCTACTCAAAATAGGCATTTTCAAAATGATATAATAAATGATCTGTGGAGTATTTTGAGCTGAAACTTCAGACACGTTCTGGGGACACCAGAGACTTATATTACATATTGTAAAAAGGGGCATAATATGTATCTTTTTAACGTCAAATATAGCCAGCACATGTAGGGCTTAGAGGTCTGCTACCCAACCCGAGCCCGACGGGTCCCGAAATACTTTCAGGTTTCGGGTCGGGTTCGGGTTAATGTTTAATGAATAGCTTCGGGTTCGGGTCGGGCTCGGGTTTATAGCTAAACTAAAACTATATGCAGGCTACGCTGCTTTCATAGACGCACGCACACACATTATTGCACACGACAACACAGCACGGTAACTTTTATTAGTAAAATATCTTTGACAGGCTACTGACTCGCAACGTTATATTTCTCTGCAATGAGGGGGTAAAATCAATGTTTTTGAAGGAACTAAGCCTCATTGCTTGTAGAGAGAGACGCGCTGACGCAGGTTCACACACTCAACTTTCATCTCTCTCTCTCTCTCTCTCTACCTCGCGCTAATTAAAATAAATGATATAATTAGCCTAATTCAAATAAATGCGATCTTACCGCACTGCATCTCTGTGTCTGATTTAAAGCAGGCCGAATGCTAACGAGCCTTAACTGACGAAAATGACCATAATTTGCACGATGGAAGAATTATCGTCTTGTCGTATAGGCTACAACCATTCAAAAACTCGGAAGAATTTGTGACCGCTGCACCTGATGTTCATAAACTTTCATAACTGGTAAGTGTTTTTTTCTTTTGCTTTGTGAACTGGCCGAGCCTTAATGATTCTGTTTCTTTACATGCATTTGCTTATACTGACCGTTGCATCCAATCGTGAAATACAACATTTTTTTTAAATTGGCTACCTTTGTGGAGAAAAATAAATAAATAAAGATTTCGGGTTCGGGCTCTAAATTTAACTGTGCCGCTCGGGTCGGGTCAGACGATCTCGGGTACGGGCCGGGTTCGGGCTTCACTTTAAAGCCCGTGCAGACCTCTAGTAGGGCTACATCTCCAAGATCTGTTAAAGAGCTACATTTAGGAAGCATCTGATTTAAAGGTCCCCTGAAGTGCCTTGAAACAGGCAGCGTTATTCTATGTGGTGACGTAATTTCAACTGAAACAGGAGGACAGGGCGAGACATATCGAGCAGCCCGCCCTCTTTTTAAATTAGCCAATAGCGTTTTGTTTATATCTGCACGGGTCAGAGCCGTTGGGCTCGGTAAGCCGCATTTGACAGCCACAGTCTAATAGATTACCCTTAGATGCAATATGAAACTCGTAGTAAAACAAAATAGTGATCATAATCATGCTGAGGCTGTGTAGGTTTAAAATTTTTTAATATATGCCGTCTCGCGTATATGATCCGCTCCGTGCGATCTCAGCCACCGCTTCAACTTATAGTGTAGGGGGCGGGCGCTTCGGCTTCTAGAGAGCGTTTGATTGGTCAGAAGATTTGATGAGAAGATGAAGTACTTTGTGAAGTAAAAAAAAAAAATCGTTGAGCTGTTTTAGCGGAAGTGACAAACTAAAAGTTTTGAGTGCTTATATCTTTTAAATGCTAATTTTGTCACTGGTTTGGAGCACACTGCCTTATAAATAACCTTAAGACTAACATATTGATACTAACACCCAAAAAACGTTAATTTTGATTTCATGGGGACTTAAAAAAAAAATGTGCCTGCAATGCGAAAAAATGCAGTTTCACATACATACCAAATCATAAACGCCTTAAGAACATGCTATAAATGTCTATTTTACATTTGACATGCAGTTTTGTTTTGAGATGGCACTTGGCACATGAGCTGACGACCTAATAAACAGCTTACATCTTCCACATGAAAACGCGTATATCAAAATAGGCATCTCTGTGATGGTTGCGCGAGGCGAACCTCAAGAGATTGCACCCTGAATATTTTCCTAAAGAAATTCCTTTAAAGGTCGATTGCTTGCCTGCCTCCACCTTCTGGGTCAGAGGTCTACGGTATAAAGCAAACTAGCAAAGCTGAGCTGGGGAGGAGTCGAGTTCCGCTACACAGGCGCGCGTTCGAACATCAGAAAATATTTGCATGTAGACTATGCATGTCTACGAGCAGCTCACAGTTTAAGGAATAGCGCTTTTTGAACTCGAATAAGAAAATATTAGACTTTGCAATCACCATTTCACTAATTCTACAGAATTTTTGTATAATATACTGTGTCGTCGAGAGATTGCTTCTGATTTGCCCCAGGGATTCAATAAAACCGGATTATTTGTGGTGTTGAGCAGTATCAAGCTGGTAAGACTTTCTTTCACGCGCTTTGCAAAAAATTTTTTTGAAAGATTAATCAGCTATTACGTTAACATACGATTTCTTGCATAACTACCACATGACTCTTTATAAGTGTTTGCTGCCTTGAATTTTGTTGTTCAAAACGATCTGTACAAAAATGATCACGTGCAGTTTATGAATGCAACCTTGAATGCATTGTTAGATTTGTAGTTTGCACTTTCTTTGTTTAACATATCCAAGAATGCAGTCTTGATTATATGAGCAGCTGGAGCACGTTGCCATCTATATCACATTACAGCTCCTTGAGATTTGTTTTGTTGTTTTGCACGCCATGTTTCACGTTTTTGGTCGCGTAGTCATAAGAATGCTTACTGTATATGAGATTAGATTAGTTATGAGATAATGGGGATAAAGAAGCTGCTGCCACCAAGAATTCTGTGAAATGTCACGGAAGTGGGTTAAATGGGGGGGGGGTTCTATCCTCCTCCTTCTCAGCATTTATCTTGTGGAGAAACAGTGACACATCTGTGCAACAACTGTAATTTAATTTACTGTGGCCTTTCTGTACACAAATGAATTGTTTACTTTGCTGTGGTCTTTCTATACACACACGAATTAGGTTTAATCTAAGATGGTATTTAGGGACCACCTGAAGTCTCCAAGCGATCAATTGCTGATTAGACCGTGTATTTTAGATGGGAGTTATGTGATGTGTTTGAGTTAAAACAGCTAAAACACTCACTTACATCTGTAAGCCACTTACCAAATATCATCTGAAATACCATACCCCACAGCCATGTCCCTTGGGCTCCTTATCCCACTGTTTTGAGGTGGTCCTCTAAAAATAGCCCTTTTGCCATTCTTAGCAACAGGAGAGAGTAACATGCTGGGGAACTGAAAGAGTTCTTTTTGTGCAGGTCATTTTCAACAGACACTGTGTCAAATGCTCCATCTTGATTAAATCACCTTTATCTATTTTTTATTTATTTTAAGTTCTTATGTTGTTTAAACATAATGCAAAAGGGAGCACTTGATGTCCAACCAAAAAGTCACCCACAACTGTCAGGACTTGTTCTTCAATTCATAGTTGAAGAGGTTTGTTAAATGGTCAAGTTCGTAATATGAGAGAAGTGAGACTTCATTAGTCAGGTTTATAAACCTTCCCACAAGAACTGAAGCATGTGTGTGGAATTTGGCCGAGATTGAAGAAGACAGCCCAGTGTCTCACACTCACTTGTTTTTTCAGACACGATGGAACTTTGTGTAGCTGCAGTGCTTTTGTCCTACTTCTCTCCAGCTTTGGGTGAGTGCTGTTGTTTTTGCTTTTTTTATTGGCACATTCTCTACTATACTCTGAGAATTCTTTTTTTAATATAAAGTGGAAATCTTCTTAATTTGTTCAAGAATGTAATTAGAACAAAAAAAAGTATTTGTCCTTCACAGACTCTTCTTTAGAGATTAACGGTATATGTGTATGCATGCAGGATCAGCTTTTGGCAGGGAAATGCCAGGTAAGTGTGTAGAGGCTTAGAGGGACTGCTATGTGAGTGATTCAAAAAAGCTGAATTTCAAGTTTTTCTATGCTTCTGTCTGACGTTGATTTGTATCAAGGCTTTTTCTGTTTGTTATTGTTTTATAAAACTTGGCTGCCGTTGCACTTAACTGCTTTTCTGAAATACTGGAGCACATAGTGTAGTTTTGGCTTTGCGTGTTTTTGGCAAATTTTCTCAAACCAGTTCCAATGTGTCTCATTTCTGCTTACAAATATACCTTCCCCTGAAGCGTTTTTCTGAAAAGCTTGTGAAGTAACACTACTCTCACGCCACAAGGCTTGAGACTTTCAAGTGTGCCAGTGCAGCTCATGCTGTACCTAACCTTGGGTATACAGTTCTGCTACTCCATTTGGAGAAAGTTTTGACAGGATGAGACTTGATTGACCTTAGAAATTTTAAGTATTGCTGCTGTAATGTTTTCTGTTGAGATTTGTCCACTTGTAAAAGTTTCAGTACTGTAAATCTAGCTGATCCATTGAATTTCTGGGAGAATTTCTGCATTCTCAGACTCTTTGTGTGCGTTTGTGTGTTGTTGCCAACACAAACATTTGAATGCACCATTTAAGCACTCCAACACTGTCGGACTGTGCAGTGTGCACTCAAGTAAATACTGCACACATAAACGTACATGAGCAGCATTAAATAATGTTTTTGTACACAGGAATGTTAAAGTGTTTGCATCAATGCTTTTGTCCATTGTTTTTGGAAGAGATTGAGGGAGAGTGAGCGAGAGATCATTATGGATGACCAAAGTCTTACAGTCAGGCCATTCATAATGTTTAATGGGAGATTTGGAGCGATGCCTTCTACATTCTTGTTTACAAAGAGAAGCCTCTCTGAAAAGACTTTTTAAAAACACGTAGGTTTATTATTCCACTGATAAATTTGTGGCATAAAATGGTGTCTCACATTCTAAAGTAACATTTCTGCCAAATGTTTAATACTAATAAAAAGTATTTGAAAAGAACTTGTCAAAATATTAGAATTAATGTTTTGTTCTTTGAGATGAATTTCTAAAATAACCTTCCCGTGTAATGTAAATCTCATATTGAGTTTTAAATACACATTAAGTTGATCTGGCATAATGAAAATAAGCTATTCATGTTGGCTGTCACAGTGTGAGCATTTATTTTGTTTAGTTCATGCTTGTGCACATGGTTTTTGAAGATATTGCCATATTTTAGAAATTATTTTTTTATGGCTGTATGCGTGTCTGTGTCCAAACACATTTACTGTTGAAATGTAGTCTGCAACCATAGTGTGCAACCATAGTGTACATTTAACATTGTAGTGCACTGCAATACTTTGGTGCCAGTTTTATATTAAGTAGTTTAAGAATCACTGCAAGTTCTATATTAATTTAATTCGACTGCACTTTATGATTCTTCTCCTCTGAAAGCACTTGTACATAGAATCTAATATTGCTCTGTCTGTAATAGTTTGGCTGGCATAGACCATTCATAATGTTTAATGGGAGATTTGGAGCGATGCCTTCTACATTCTTGTTTACAAAGAGAAGCCTCTCTGAAAAGACTTTTTAAAAACACGTAGGTTTATTATTCCACTGATAAATTTGTGGCATAAAATGGTGTCTCACATTCTAAAGTAACATTTCTGCCAAATGTTTAATACTAATAAAAAGTATTTGAAAAGAACTTGTCAAAATATTAGAATTAATGTTTTGTTCTTTGAGATGAATTTCTAAAATAACCTTCCCGTGTAATGTAAATCTCATATTGAGTTTTAAATACACATTAAGTTGATCTGGCATAATGAAAATAAGCTATTCATGTTGGCTGTCACAGTGTGAGCATTTATTTTGTTTCGTTCATGCTTGTGCACATGGTTTTTGAAGATATTGCCATATTTTAGAAATAATTTAAGTTGATCTGGCATAATGAAAATAAGCTATTCATGTTGGCTGTCACAGTGTGAGCATTTATTTTGTTTAGTTCATGCTTGTGCACATGGTTTTTGAAGATATTGCCATATTTTAGAAATTATTTTTTTATGGCTGTATGCGTGTCTGTGTCCAAACACATTTACTGTTGAAATGTAGTGTGCAACCATAGTGTGCAACCATAGTGTACATTTAACATTGTAGTGCACTGCAATACTTTGGTGCCAGTTTTATATTAAGTAGTTTAAGAATCACTGCAAGTTCTATATTAATTTAATTCGACTGCACTTTATGATTCTTCTCCTCTGAAAGCACTTGTACATAGAATCTAATATTGCTCTGTCTGTAATAGTTTGGCTGGCATAAACTTGACGTTTTTGCTGTGTTAGATTTAAATTGTAACACTCTTTCTCTCCCTCAGCTTCCCAAATGTATGAAATTCATGGTAAGTGTCTTCTAGTCTAGAATCAGTTTTACATTAACTGAACGTCTTATTGGCTTATTAACAGTGTTTTTAGCCAGGCTAGACCAGGTTTAATGTATGTCAATGTATGTTTGAAACTATAAGCTTTTAGTTCACAGCAGGTGTGAAAAAATGAACAAATGTTAATGGAGTCACCAGTCAGAAAGCTTATCTTCATACGGTACATTCCATACAGTATCAGTTTGTCCATAGCATTCTGTATTTGAGAAATGGCTTGCAGATATGAAGAGAATATTAGAGATTTTTTTTATTTTTTTGGCACTAGAATGTTGTCATTAGCATCTTAAATTCTATTAACATTTTACATTTTGATTGCTCCCAGACAACAGCTTTGCAGAGTTTTGACTCTAGACATTTTCATTTTTTTTCTCCCACTAGAGTACGACAAGCCATTTCATTATGGTGAGTACAGGTGGACTATAGCTGCTTAGGCAGTATACATACTTATATGGATTAAGGAAATCACTTGGTTGACTTGATAAAGCTGAAAGGGGAAAAAATGCTTGTATGCAAAACATAGTGATTACTCTGAGGCATTTGTGTTTCTCATTGTATTTTGAGTGTAGTCATTTTATTATGGGAGTTACAGCTGCACTCTGATGTTTCCCATAGTGTGGCGAGCACTGTTGTTTTAAGAAGGGCTTTCAGGGCCAAAGTGCATCACCCTCCTCAGGAAACATCTGGGAAGTCAGAGAGATTTGCGTTTCCCCCACTGTTTTTCCAAAATAGATGGAAAATATTCACCCCAGGACTAAGCTTCGGTAAAACGCTTAAGTTTGAATCTTATCTACCCCAGAATTTCCCAAATTTACTTTTTATTTGTATTTGTTTATTGTCCATTGGATTATATATAATCTGTCAAATTTACAATTAAAAGCACAATGCAGACCCCTACTTAGAAATCAAACTACTAAGTACACATGGGAGTTTAGTGGTTCCAGACTGTCTCGGGAAAGTCATTCTTCAGCTTAGTAGATTTGTTTGTGCATGTTGTGTTGACCTTAACACTCATAAGCAGGACCAACTGGAATCTGCAGAACTTTTCACATTTTCTGTGCTGAATTTTAAGGGAAAATCTGTCATAATTTATTATATGGAAGTACAATAGTAGACACTTGGGAGTTTAAAGCCTAACCAATAAGCCAAAATATTAGTAAACAAATGGGTGGGGTGTAGAACTTTGTGAATGAGTTCCAATTCTACAGATTCTATGTGCACCTGATACAAAAGGGCTGTTTTGTTTGTGAATATGTAATTAGTGTATTGTTTTACCACAAATAAAATTTTCGTTTTAAATTTTAAGCTTATGTGGAATGTTTCCCATTTGAATCTTGTGTCATTAACTAATAAAATGAAAACATGCATCACTTCTGCATTTGTACATGTTCTTCTGAATCCTCTTTCCAGATTATGAATCTCTGAGGATCGGTGGTATGATCTTTGCTGTGATCCTCTTCTTGATGGGGATCTTCCTCATTGTCAGTGAGTGTCAAACTATCTGTGTACTGCTCTCAGAAAGAGAGCATCCTACCTAAGAGCTATCATACATTTGTATAGTACTTGCCATCAAATTTCTAGAATATTTTTGTAGATATAACCTAAGAATGTATCCACACATGCAGATAAACAAATATCAGTTACTGTGGGTAGACTGGTTGCAGGCTAGCATGTCTTTCATAACCTCTAAGTTTAAACCTCTCTACGACACCCAACACCGCACCATGACTTATGGCGTTCCACCAGTACAGGGTAAAGCAGCCAGTCTAACCTTTGACACTCTGAACTCCCACCAATCCACATAAATTACTAATGAGAAACCCTGACGGTATACAGACCATATGAGTTTGATCACAACAGGGGTGTTTAAGGACAGTTGTTTGTTTTTTGTGTACCCATGTAATTTCTTGATGTGTATCTCTAAAACACCATGTGCTTCTGAATGCATTTTTCTTGTATATTACAATAAAACCACCAATGGTTTTGATCATATTTCCGGCTTGTTTCTAATAGGTCGGAAATGCCGCTGCAAAGGGAACAAGTCAAAGTAAGTGGCGAAGAAAACAGTAATGCATTTTGTTCTATGAGAATATTCAGGCACATTTTCGCAGGCAAAATCCAGTCATTTCAATCCATGCGATCAGGAATTTTACGTTATATAGAAAGATTTAATCCAGATTGCACAACAGGTTTAATTTGGTATGAGTTTGATCACAACAGGGGTGTTTAAGGACAGTTGTTTGTTTTTTGTGTACCCATGTAATTTCTTGATGTGTATCTCTAAAACACCATGTGCTTCTGAATGCATTTTTCTTGTATATTACAATAAAACCACCAATGGTTTTGATCATATTTCCGGCTTGTTTCTAATAGGTCGGAAATGCCGCTGCAAAGGGAACAAGTCAAAGTAAGTGGCGAAGAAAACAGTAATGCATTTTGTTCTATGAGAATATTCAGGCACATTTTCGCAGACAAAATCCAGTCATTTCAATCCATGCGATCAGGAATTTTACGTTATATAGAAAGATTTCATCCAGATTGCACAACAGGTTTAATTTGGTCATGTGGATTTGGCACATTGACCAACAGAAATCTGCTTGCTTTGACAATGACTTCTGTGTGATCTGTGCTTGATACAACGCTGTACTATTGACAACAGACAATTGACCCTTTATGCCACAGATTTGTTTTTATAATGTGACTGCATCTGTTCCAATGGTGCAACTAGACCAATAATTAGAGATCACAATATAATGTCTATTTATTTTTCTGCTCTTCAGGAATTGACCACCTTTTCACTTTTGTCTCTCTTGTTTTCTTTTTCCTGCTTCATAGGCCAGTGGGTCTTGACCCAGAGGCCGCCAGAGGTGAGAGTGTTCAGTTTTCTTTTTATTCATGACACCTAAAAAGAAACTGACATTTATGGTATTTTTTTTATTGCAGGTGCAAAATAAAGCAAGCCGAGGGAACCGAGAAAAAGGTGACACTGCCTCTGCTTTTGGATTCGTCGTGATGTTCTATAGCCTAAATGTTTAAGACTGTGTATCTCTGCTGTTTTTGGTTCCTTTTTGACAGAAAGCATGGCTTCTTAAGGAGAACCCTTAATCAGAAATTTGACCATTTGGAAGAAGAAAAAGTCACTTGATGATTTAGTTCTTCTAGTGTTCACAATTTTTTAAATTTTATGTCTTTTTAAATACACAAGACTATGAGTGTTCCTTTTTAAAATGTGAGGTTTTAAAAACATTGTTTAAATAAAACCATTGATTCTCAGCTAGAACTACTTTGCCATAATGTTTATCTTAAACAGCTGATACCTTTGAGATGTTCCTACTTTTTGTCATGTACCTTTCAGTCTCACAATGAAGTTTATGAAATACATGGTGTAGTATGTGTTAAGTGCTCAGTAGCTAAAAGAAAAAAGCAGGCATTTTATATATTTTGTAAATTGTCCATACAGTTTTGTCACGTTGCAGAAGTAACAAATCTAACTGTACACTGTAGTTGAAAAATAAAGTGATTTTAATTTTAAGTCTGTTAAGTGTTTTGAGAAAAAGTAACCGTTATGTAATGTGTGCTTGGCACCTGCCTGGTCTGTCTCGTATTCGGTCTGTGTTATAAATAGTTGAGCCTGTTATTAGTAGTAATATTAGCCTACAAGCAGTTTGCTATTGCTGCTGCGTCACTGATGTTGCGATAGTATCTAGCTTCTGTAAAATAAAACAAAACAAACAAAAAGAAAAACATTCTCTGTGCATGTAGAATATCATATTACACGGGTCTCTGGAATACTTAATTCTGATTGGTCAGTGTGCGGTCGGATTTGTAGACCTAATGTTGCTCATAACATGCCCCTATGTGTCTTGGCACTTTCGTGGTCATCACAATTTGGAGTAGAACATTGGGCGCCAATGTCTTGTGCGAGCGTCTTGCGATTCAAAGCGATATTACGACAAACGCTAAGACAAATGGCATCGGAGGGCTTCAAAAATGAGGAAAGAACACGAAAACACACGTCTGAAGAACAAGCAACCGAAGAGATGTATTAGAAAACTGAAAAATAAAGGCTTGTGGACTGCCTGCTGTAGTTAAATAAGGTAGCTAGGCTACTAGTTCACAGGAAAAAAAAAATAAATGCAGATATTGAATAAGATAATGTTGTAGCCTATCCTTGCAATGTTCTTTGGCCGATTAATTTCCGATTTCTGCGTTAGGGGAATATATATATATATATATATATAATCGCTTAGCCTATTTAAGTAGATATAGTGGATGTAAACGGACAGGTAAATGCTAGGTATGCACCGAAATTTCGGCCGCGGTGTGACGCTCAGCTCAATATTCCGCTAAATGAATGTGCGTTCCGCTCACGTACCGCCAGTGTTGCCAACTAATTTTCAGGGGAAGTTGCTAAAGGAAGGTCAATTTGTTGCTAAAAATTCCTAAATGACGTTGTGATGTCATAGCACGATGACATCATTACGTAATTATGACACAAAATTGTCACTACAGATCTCAGCAAGAAAATATTTTATATATGTTAATTTAGATGTGTTTGTAAAATAATATAACACAGTATAATATTAAAATATAAATAACTGTATTTTTAAATACAACATTGAATTATTGAACACACGTTTTTGAACAATTAGGGCCTACAAAGTTGTTTTTTTAGCTAGTAAACTACACATTCTGAACAATTATAGTTTTAAGCAGTGTATTAGCAGTTAGTTATTATGCTACATTCTAAGAAAATATCTGTAAAAATAGGGCACAGTCTACTATATTAATATGAAGGAGTTTTCCGTATTGATTTTTCACCGTTTTTTGTTACCTGCATTTTAAATTACGCATTGTATTTTGTGTTTTTGGGTTACAGGGTTACAATGGATAATGAATAATGGATAACGGATAATGTCCTGGAAAATTACTAGTACCTTTTCCATTTTTCTAGATATTTTTCTTACAGTGTACTAACTGATCAACAGTCGTAGGCACAGGCTACTAACAAGGTGTATCAAAATCATAAATTAACTATTATTAAATTATTATTATTAAATTGAGCAATTGCTAATAGAAGAATAAATGGTAGGCACAAGCTACTAACAAGGTGTATCAAAATCATAAATTAACTATTATTAAATTATTATTATTAAATTGAGCAATTGCTAATAGAAGAATAAATGAAAAAAAAAAATAGCTACATTTGTTGCTTGGTGCTTTTGGAAGAAAAAGTTGCTAGGGTAGTGTGAAAAGTTGCTAAATTTAGCAACAAAATTGCTAAGTTGGCAACACTGCGTACCGCTCATGCTCACCGGAAAAGCAAAGTCCGCGCAAATGACGCGCCTACAGGAAATGTATGTTCCTGTTTGCAATAACGCTACTGTGCTGTATATGGTGCAACGCTAGTAAAATGACGCTACCCTCTCGTTCACTGATCTGCTCCCCGCTATGCTCTTCTCACCTGCTCTGATAGCCTAATAGCTGTGTAGGACTATACATTGTTTGGATAATTAGTCAAAAACAAGTTATATCTGATTATGTTGCATAGAACTGAATAAAAATATATATTGATATTTAATATTAAAATATTTTCTGACCAATTTTATTGTTACTTTCAGTAGAAGTGTGGTTATTCTGGCTTGTGTTTTTTAAATTCAGTATAATTAAAATTGAGTTAAATTAAAAATTATTGCAAAATTACTTTATATTAGGCTATTTAATAAAATAATAAATAATTATTACAAAGCATTTTCGGTTTCGGCCCAGAATTTTCATTTCGGTGCATCCCTATAACGATAGACTATCAATATGATTTTGTCGGCGTCACGCATTTAATTAATGGCATTTGTTTTAACGCATACAAATCCTACTTAACATCCCGAGGCTCAGTTTACTGAAGTTGTCCACGTTCACTTCCCGTCCTAATCCTCTGCAGACCCCAATCCTGTTGCTGCATGGGTGGGGTTCTCTGTCGCATGTATTCATTGGGGGGATGTGTTTGGCTCGGGATCCCCACCGCATTGGCCAAGATGAATTTTGTCTACCTAACGCCATGTCTGGGAGCTTCCCCTACCGAATTAGGGGAACACTGACAGACCTGTGCCGCTAGGGGGCGTAAGTAAGTAACTTCCGATGTGCGGCATCGATGCAGTGCTCCACAGCGGGCTCTCTTCATTCAGGGTGCTGAATTACAGCCTGCAGGCATAGCAAGATTAAGGAAACCCTGTCTCGTTAAAACACTGCAATAATGGCAGCTTCAACAGGTTTGTCTATTTATTGCATTTACCTATTTGCTTTTAAAGATAAACTGCATGGTTGTGTCATAAGGAATAATTAAACACATTTTAAGATGTGTAGCTACTGTTGAATGACTTCAGACTTGACACTTTTGGTGTTTGTCGTGAGTATAACAAAAGAATATTCAATAAAATAGTCTGTTATACTACTATGTAATTTGACAGGAATTACTAATATTGTTGCATATATTTAGCTTAGTTGTTCTATGCATATTCAGTAATTCCAGTCTAATTTAACCTATTTCCTAAATTTGTTTGGATATTGCAGATGCTTTAATACGTTTAAAATTTTGTCATTACTCGGGCAATACATATTTGAGGCCGTCGCTATGGACAGATTGTTTAAATAGATAGCCTAGTTCACCCAAAAATGAAAATGATCACACTGGCGTTGTTTCAAATCCGTATGACATTGTTTAAACACAAAATTAAATGTTAGGAAGAATGTCAGTCTCGTTTACTTACAGCCTCGTTTTTTTCTATACAATGGGAGTGACTGTCATTCTGCCTAAAATCTCATTTTGTGTTCCTCAGAAGAAACACATAGGCTTGTCATAAAGCTTTGAAACGACATGAGGGTAATAAATGACGGCAGAATTTCCATTTTAAAGTGAACTATCACTTTAAGAGTGAGAGGAGTGCTGAAAATCGCTAAGCAAGCCGTTAAAACCTTGAAGCAGACACCATTGCGCAATAGAGCCTATTCTTAAGGGACCGATCACAAAGTTGTGTATGTTGCATATTTTCTAAAATTTGTATTTTTTTCCACATAGGTAGGCTGCTAAAAGCTCTCACTATTGGCAGTTTAGACAGCTTTATTGATTATTACTAGAGGAAATCCACTCGCCACTTGCTAGTGGAGACTGCAGTTCTCGGAGCGCTTGCCTCCAACCGGCTTTCCGCTGAGCCCGCAGCCTCTTAATGCAGCTAATCAATAACCCGAATCCTGATGTTCTCAGCTGAAAACACTTGAGTTTGCAAGATGCCCTTCTGCCTCATAGGACACGCTCAACAGCTAATTGAGATCACTATTTATGTGATTAGTATTTCAAAGGATTGCAATCTGAATGCATTTCAGCTAATAAGCTCGTTATTTGAGAGCTTATTAGACTCTCACTGTCCAGTGTAGGCTAATAGCTCCATATTTATAAATTTAATAAACCAGCATCTGTCCATGGTGCTGAACTCTGTCCCCTTCATTGTCTTCCTTGATCATTCCATGTCTTCACGGTGAATCACATTCCTAAGATCCATATTAAGTCTATTATAGGGGTTCCTTGTGTTTAATGTATTTCAATGTTTTTACAGAGTCATACATGTATATGGACCAGAGTGCTTTTCATTACGGTAAGCAGGTGAATATTGCATGGAAATATATATATAGAGAGAGAGCCAATAAAAAACAAAATAAAAAAAAAAGAAGGTATTTCACCGTTCTTGATTTCTGAGCTCAGATTACGAGACATTGCGGACCACGGGTTTCATCCTTGCTGTGGTTATGTTCGTAACCGGGATTCTTATTGCTGTGAGTAAGTCACTTAATCATAGACATTTTAGTGCTAAATGAGTGTTAGAAAATGGTGTCATCAAGAGTAACATTTACCGGGCATTGCAGTCAGTCCAATTTTACTTCAGTCAGTGCAGTGAATACATCCAGTTCTCTCAATCCACAAAACCATTTGTTTAAGTACTTCTGCAATGTGAAACATTTTGTTTAATTAAAAAAATTAAATGAGATTGAATGCATTTCTTACAAACTGGCTAAACTCGTAATTGAATTGACCCCAATCTAGGTCCCTCTCAATTATATATTTCACCATCTCTAAATGTTTTTTGCCCTGACAGGTAAAAAGTTCAAATGCTCCGAAATCCAAGTAAGAGTTTTTCACACAAATGTGCAGCCTTGACTGTGCATGTGGATTAAAGGGGTCGTTTCATTGATCACCATTTGTTTATGAAATGTGTGGCTATATTTAATAAAGGTGCTGACATGGTTTTCATGTGGGTTGCTTTCATCAAGTGTTTACATCAGGTTAGCACATAATGCAACATGTTTTGTTAGAAAGAGTGTATGTTATGAAAGAGTTGTGCTTTGATTTTTATATCTACACTCTTACTCAACCAGTTTTCAATAAATTTACATAATTCTTTCTTAGGACACGTTTCATGTGAGCAATATTTAAAGAGAGAGTTTACCCAAAAATGAAAATGTATCATCATTTACTCTGTTCTATCTCAAACTCATATAACTGCCTTTCTTCTTTAGAACACAAATATATTTTCATAGACTGATATGTTTACATCCATAAAATGAAAAGTAAAAGGGTTTCAAAACTTTTAAGATAAATATGAGTTTGAGACATAAGGGAATAAATGAGGGAATTATCACTTTTGGGTGAACTATCCTTTTAAGCAAGGCTATAACCATGTCTTGAACATTGGGGGGGATAGGCCTAGGTCAAATTTGATTTTTATTTAGCTTTGATTGGCCATCTCAATCATTTTGACATTGACAACATTGCTGGTAAACTGCTGAGGCAGACCAGCCTAAAAACGTAACATTTAAATCTTTTTGTAATCCAGTGAGCAGCCATTTTTTGGGGGGGTGCCTTGCTCAAGGGTATTGGAAGAGAGCACTGGTTATTCACTCCCCCACCTACAATCCCTGCCAGTACCGAGACTCGAACCTCTGACCTTTGGGTTATAAGTCCGACTCGCTAACCATTAGGCCATTCATTTTTTGGCAGTTTAGACTTGTCCTCCTCAATGTCTAAGCTCTGACTTTAAGAGAAATTTATTGTAATTATGGGTATACTTGCCTGTTTAATTGCCTTAAACAGGCAAATGTTTGAAAACATTGTCTTAAAAAATTGCTCTTTTGAATAAATGTTTTATTAATATTGTGTCAGTGTTTTCAGTTTTTGACTTGGACACTGTTATTGCAGTTTTCAGTTGTAACATATTATTTCTTAGTACCAATTTCCAGTAGCATTTTTTTGTTCAGTCAACTTCAGGTATTTGAGTTCTACAGACAAAAAATGTTGAGTTGGCACAACTTAAAAAGGTTTGTTATAGAATCGTTGCACATCTCTAGAAAACTAACAATCTTGAGTTAACTCAACTAAACATTTTTTGTATGACTGACAGCTTCTTTTCAGTCAGTATAACTGCTTTTTTACAAAAGTTGAGTGAACAAGAAAAAGCTAGGGGAAATTAGTACTAAGATTTTTTACAGTGCGAAGAGAAAGATATATTATGCACAGAAAAAGATTGACAAAACAGATTAAAAAAAAAATCTGCACTGCTCTGTTAGGTCAGGAACAGGGAATCATTATATCAATATAGCAGTGAATAGTATTTAATGGTAAAAGGCCGTTTTAAAAATTATATTTTGTCAAATATTTATTGTATGCTATATGAAGATCACAATAAAATATTCTTGATATTTTTTGTCATGCTGTTATCTTTTGTTATTACTTTTCAAATGTTTTAAAATCGGGCTAGGTCAAATTTAATTTTTATTTTTATTTTGCTTTGATTGGCCATCTCAATCATTTTGACATTGCTGGTAAACTGCTGAGGCAGACCAGCCCAAAAATGTAACTTTTTCTTTTTGTAATCCAGTAAGCAGCCATTTTTTTGGGGGGTGCCTTGCTCAAGGGTATTGGAAGAGAGCACTGGTTATTCACTCCCCCACCTACAATCCCTGCCAGTACCGAGACTCGAACCTCTGACCTTTGGGTTATAAGTCTG